AACCTTTCTCAAGAAATTATAAAGGCTTTGAACGGGATGTCAAAGTTGCTAATTTTGGGCACCTATATCTGCGATCAGAAACCGAAAGCTACTCCTTGTGGCCAATGCCTTGTATGCCTCCTGTAGCTGCTGCCTTCAGCAAATGAATGAGTTTTACAGGAAGTTTGCTTTTCAAGTGGGAAAGGAAGAAGAGCACTATCGAAGGGAAAACGAGAATAAATTATAAATCATGCTACTGATCTACGGTCAGTTTATAAAATATTGTGTATTGCTCGCTATTCATCGCATTTAATCTCGGCGAATCGGACAGTTTTATTTTTCAAACTTTTTCCCAGCTGTTACACAACTCACGCAGAATGAATCGATTTTTTATTTTAATTTTTGTATATTTATTCTATTTTAAGTTAGTTTTTTGGCTATCTTTCTGTGTATAACAAACTGCTATGTTCTATTGTCGTAATTCTCTAACCACTACATAGGTGGAATTACCAGTGGCTTCGCTGGTTCATAAGGTACTTCGGCCGGTTATGTCAGTTGCGGCAGCCATTATCCACTATCGACTCTGCTATTCAGGTATACGGGAATATGCCGTCGGGTTGATTGTCTTGTAGGGCGTGATATGGAGGGATTGCTTGTGCCGAGACTAGCTATCTATAGTTTAAGTAATCTCTATCCTTGCTTTTTTCTACCAGTTTTAGAAAACGAACTATAAGCTTCAGTAACGAGACAAAGAAGCGACGTTTGCAAGGCACGTTCGTCCCAGACATATTATCCATCTTTCAAACAAAATCGGTCTTTGTTCGCTTTAACTGTACTGTATACTTTGCGTGACAAAATGTGAGTCCAATGCAATGTAAGTGGTTTTCCAACAGTTAACTTTAAGTCTAAAAAGGATGCATTACAAAGTAACTCTGTTGGGTTCCTTTAAACTTTTCATCGCTAATAGAGGTGAAATAATACAATAAAATGTACTTGCGACCCGACCACAGGCAACAACAGGAATTGTTATTGGTACAGCGTTTAGCTGTTTTCCATATCATTTATTAAAGTAGCTGAAAAAGACACGCTTTGAAAGCCAATACTGTTGATATTTATTCTTATTTTCGAATTTTACAACTAGCCTTTTGTTTCCATCTACAAGGAGATTTATAGTCCTCCAAAACAAAGATGATAAGGTTTTCCTTTTTCCAACTAGTTTGATCCGTACTTAGTTTTCCTGAATAAAAATTCTGTCTTTATTGACTGTTTTATTTCCATTTTCTGGCGACTGAAATATCTGATTGTACAGAAAAAAATATGGTTTTGTTAATGTACTTGCTGTGGCATATTCAATACTCATTGTGAATGAACTCAAATACGTTTCGGTTGGGGGTTATTTTAATAAATGCGTTGTCGCTGTTCTCGTCTGAGTTTTTTTTCTTTTTATCCATAGTTCATTATGGAAAGCGTGTTTGCTTATCATCCTTTAGTGAGACTGCTATTTAAATTTTCTTTTTCAGAAAGAAAGAAGCCATTAACGCCGAATAGCTGTCAATAAGTTTCAGTTCAAACGAACAGCGATTTGACTTAAACCGTTAGAATGGGCAGTGAATTTTGACGTGAGGTAAACTTATGCTGTCGAAGCCACTCGTACAATACTTGCAAGGACAAGAGTCGCTGAGCTTCGACTAGGGCTCGCAAAATTCGACCTATGTTACATCAAAAACCTCATAAAACAGAGCATAGATGCCAGTCCTTTCGATTCCAATGTATTAAAAGTGCGATCCCCATCTTTGAAGGTGAAAATAACGTGAAAAACTGGGATATTTATTACGTATATGTATAAACATAGGCGATCTGCAACCGTATTATTAAAGTGTTTTGTTATTTATTTATTGGTGTGTTTTTCGAGGGGCGTAACAAGCGAAAGGGTTGCCGGAACACTATAAATGCAATGGACTCGTTTGTGTATACTGTTCTTATTATTCAAGTTACACTCTGATTAAACTCACCTTTTCAAAAATAGAACTGATTATGAGCTTCATTCGTGGTTTATTAAAAAAAAAAAAAAGAAAGAAAGAAACTAAAGGACAAGAATGTCTTATTGCGGTTTCAAGATCAGGTGATTTTCTGATGTACAGGCAGCTGGTATCCAGATTGTTAAATTAGGATTTTACAAAGGCTGCGTTAATCATCCCTCTGTTTAGAGCAACGCGAACGGTTATTTAGATAAAAAATATAAGATAAGACCATTTAGCCAAAGCAAAGAAATAAACTTGTTCCAGCAATTAAAAGTGGCCCGCACTAGGAAATGTTAGATATTGGCGGAAAAATTGGTTCGCATCACTGATATTCCGGGTGTAAAAAAAAAGGTCTTACGATCACCGAAATAAAAAGGACTTACATTGTAAAACAATGTTCTTGAGGTAAAGGTGATTTTAATGTACGAAGGTTTTATTTATCAGAAACAAAGCTTTAACGTATAATTTTAATAAAAAACATTCTCTGTACATGCGAAATTATAGGCCGGTGTGACTAGCATTCAAATTAGAGTTTGTCTTTATCTAAATTCTTATAAAAACTCTTTATTAAGAGAAAGTTTTCACAACATATTTTAGTAATATGTCTCGATAACATTGTAAAAAGAAACCTTAAAAGTGCCACATTTTATTAGAAGCGAAAAAATTCAACTTCTAATTCACCTGATAAAATATTTTGATTATGCGCGTGAAAAGTTATGTTTCAGAGGTTAAACACGTAGAAGTTTGGACTATTATTTAACGATTATTTGTCGCCTTCTGGGGAGTTTTGGTTAAACACTGGATTACGAAGCGCGACAGTAAATAGAAATGTTATCATTTTACTCTAGTCTTATCATATTTTATTCATTGTTTAAATTCCTCACATTTGCATTAATAACCGTGAAATGAGGGTCGTTATCTGTGCGCTATAAAGACACCTTTTCCGTTTGCAATGTTTGTTCCGTAGTGAAATCAGTCCCATAATTACTGCAACGAGACAAACGTGAGAAATGAAACACGAATATTTTTTATTCACTCTAGATTGCATCTTGTTTGGTTTTTAGTCGTGTTAAGTAGCTTAAGTGCTTTTAGCAAAGAAATTGTTTGGGCCATCACAATTTTGCTTATTAGCCAAATATTAATTCATCATTCGTTCCGTCAAAAAATCGCTCACCCCGCCGACCATTTTGAACAATAACCCCTTTTTTCATTTTGAGGTAATTTTCCCCGGGGGTCTTTCGTCAATAATTCGAAAGAAGCCTGCAATTATCAGTGGGGAAGAAAGAAACAGTTGTTTAACAGCCACGCTATCAAATGTTTAAAGAAAATATTAAAGGAGACCCGTCAGCCAGTTCTGTCGAAATTAAGAAACTGAAGAAATTATCGTCCTATTTATGGCGGCGCCTTCCTTTAATCGCAACAGACTAAAATTAAAAGGCTGTACAGTTTAGTTGCGATGAACTGATTAAAAATCTAGAAAACGTTCATTTCCGATGATAATTTAGACTCCTCGGAGTGAATTACTCAGAGGGGAGGAAAATATAGAAACAACTGATGCGGTTTTCTCAGGCAAAAAGTATTTTGAAAAAATTTCGTAAGTGCGTCGATGAAAGTTTGCCCAAAACATTCTTTTGTTCATTAGGAAGCGCTTTTCGGTTCATTTTTGCAGGAAGCAAATCAGAACGAGGAGACAATACGACGGAGATTTACATTTCTTGCTAATGGACGGTCTTGAATTACGCTCTTCTATTCTGAATCTGAAATCAATTACGAAGCTACTTCGTGTCATATCGAACACTTGGAATTCACAAGCTCTTAAGAAGGCTTTCTTTAATTTGCATTTGTTTGTGATAGCTAAGGGTTTATTCTTTTGCTCTTTGCAAGGGATTATTATTGCGACCGAGGTAGAGCGGTTTTTCGATAGCAGTGAAACTTAAAATAGCGTTTTGTTAGTGATACTTGAGTTTAACCAAATGTAGTCGACTCCAAAAACGTCCGCATTTTGGCTTGCTACTCGATACTATCAGCTTTATTAGCACTGGAAAGAAATTAGGCCCTCAACAAATGATTGTAAACTAAACGTATCCTGTCGGCATTTTTAGACCAAGTAACTGAATACTTCTAAATTTGATCGTCACTTCTTACACCCTAGCAACGAGTAGAAACAAGACCTTTAAAAGGATAAGTTTGATTGCGGCACAAGCCATTAATAGTGGTAGCTAATTTGATTAAATTTCTTCGCGGCAGGCCGGTATGCACCTGTTAATAGCCCCTGATCGTATCGGTGTAATAAGCCTACTTCCATGTTTGCTGTAATTAGAGTTTCATCCCGTCTCATGCAGACATAACAAGCTCCGTTAAAATAGCCAACAAACATTTTCCGTTGATTTTGCAACCCAAGAGGCCTGCTCGTGCGTCATTCGCAGCAGAAAACATTTTAAAAGCTTAATTGGTGCCATAAATAATTCATGTGACAGTAGCAGAAAGCTAGCATGTTAAGTTCAACGGATTTGTTGAAGTGTTCCCCCTTGGCAACGAAACACGATCAAATAGTTGTTGGGAAATCAGTTTCACATGGCACAATACTATGCCAAGTAAAACATGCTTGTTTGTTAACAAAGTTAAAAATAGCCGTATCGGACCGTCAATCCCTGCCCAACCCGGCTAACACGGACAGACTCCGGTTAAGACAGTTCACCGGATAACCCGCTAAGAGCAAACACGAAACAATTAAAACTGTTTGATTAAATCGCTAATGACGAATTTTCATGTTTTTTAGCGGGCCTATTCCGATCTTTTTAGACTTTACTGTTCACTACCAATATCGGTTAGTTTACTAGAGGAGTAAATTCTACCGTCACATAAAGTGGAGGTGGACGTAAAACGCGTACGCATGTCCCGCGAACAATGACTGGAGTTCACCTGTCGGAGATTTACTGGGCAGGGTTTTATTCATGACAGTTGTAAAAAGTCGTGACATCCAAAAAATGCCTTTATTGTAAAACGGCCAGCTTAAAGCGTTAGTTCATTCGAGACATCACTCAGATTTCATTCAGACCCATTTTGATTAATCTAAGATGCCTAAATCTTTTTTGGTTAAGAAGCGGGTGGAGGTGCCTGCTTCTGAGGAATCAGAGAATCTCCCAGATGCTGAATTAATACGGGAGCACGGTAAGGACCCGATATCGCTGCTCTTTTAAAGACAGATTTCTATTCTTTATTTCAATGATATTATTTTCTGATTTTGAATTAGTCTCGGCCGAGGAATCAGGATTAAGATTTATTTCGTTTAAGTCCAAATGGTGGGAGTTTTGCTTTAAGTTCACTTTTCAAAAAGCTGAATTAACAGAAACGTGAGATTCTAATAAATCGATTCTGAAATCAGATTGATCAAATGGCGCGCAGTTTTCCAGAAGATTGAAGATTCTATGCAAAAGCACAGCGCTAACTGAATAAACTCTGAACTCAGCCAGATTTTCCCGTTTCAAAAAAACCGATTTGAATTAATCTGGAGTTAAGATAGTTTAAATACGCACAAGTTAAAATGTTGTAATTTTGATTCGGTTTTCTAGAGGAAAGTGACGAAAACCAAATGGCCCGCGGAAAAGACCAAGAGGCAAAGGGATCTAAAGCTACATCAAACCGTCCGTTTGACATCGAAAACCTATGTGCACCCGACAGAGTTCCCAAAAAGCAAAAACCTGTCTTACATTGGAGACCAATGGATCACTCGAGGCCCCCTTTCACTTTTGTGGAATCGGCTACGCTTCCTTTACATGGTAATTTTACTGTTAGTCTCGTTGTACTTTTATGATATTGAACAAACGCAATGTTAAAAGAAAACGATTTTATTTTTCGCACGTTGTGATTACTGATATGCGCGCTTTAATCAGACTAAAAATGTTTGTGTCACATTAGCAGTTTTTGTTGAAAATTCGGAATACTTTGTGGTTTGAGAAAGAAGAAATTTCCGTGAAAAAGACGATTTGAGCGCGCAGGGAGATGGTGCTTAGAAAAGCTTCTTCGGCGAAGAAATTTAAAAGTGCGAGTTTCTTCTTATTGCGGGTATGGTCTTAATTTTCAGTTTGGAAATCAGAACCTGCGAATCTTAGTATTAAGGCTGACAGGAAATGATTTGGGGAGCCTATAGAGTACGCGTGTAAATAGCGCGTATTTTCACGGCTTGGTGGAAGAAAAGATTTAAAATCTGCAAACAAACTACTGTAAACGGCGCAAACTTGTGCACCGAACATTTTATGAGATTACCAATCGCGTGTAAGATGAACTTTATTTAGGTTGGTCCTCAGTCTAGATATGACAGTGACAAGCAAATAAAGAGTAATTACCTGAAGAAATCCCTAACAATACCTCAAAGCCTGTATGTTTAACTCGCTGGAGTTTAATTGTTCAAATATTGTGTATATTTGGACCTCTGTTGGGTTTATTAAAAATGACAAACCAAGCCGAGCACCTCCTCCTGAATTGTCTTTTTAAATTAAATTGAAGGAGAGAGTTTCTGCTTTCTATCAACGGAAAGAAACCTGTGAAATTACCAATGGAAGAGGAAACAGATTCGTTTGAGTAGTTGCTTTATTTTTCCGTTCAGATTAATCGACACATGAGCTTAATTATGCCTCTTATTTCGAGGAAATGTGGTACAAAGCCATTTCTTTTACACTACTTTTCGGGTATTGTTACAATTTGATGGTTTTTTTTCTTCTTCAATCAGAGCTGAAAACACCATCTTTGATCACAAAATGAAGCGGTAACTACAAAGGGATTTAATTTAAGTGAATCATCACTCGTCTCCCTTGAATTGGGTAAGATTCACGTAGAAAGGAAAAAACAAAGACGTTTTCTAAACGAATTTAGCATTCGGATTTATAACGCAAACAGTTTATAAATGCAAAGGAGTGAAAACTCATTAACAGCGCAACTTTCCGGTTCTTTTAAGATTTTAAACATTTATGAAAATTAATCTTCCAGTACTTGAGTAGCTCTTATGAAAGCATCTTTTCGAACTTTTATTTGCTCTAACCTGGTTGCAAATCACTCGCGCTCTTAGAAAATGTTTTTCCGTCTCCATACAGAACACTTATCTTAAGGGCTATACATCACGTTTGAACGCCATAAGGCTAACAGATTATTTTTTTCTTATCTCTCAGATGGCAGACCTTATATTCCACCCTTTGCTACCCAGTTCATGCCAGATGGGTTCAACCAGTTTCTTATACACCCTTATCTACGCTTCCCACCCCAACCATTCCTTACGGAGCGAAGCCTATCTTTTCCTTTCTGGCAGCAGTCTCCATTCTTTGGAAACCCACTTGTGCGCATGACGGATGGGGAGAAGGCTTTAAAAACCACCACGCGCGCAGCACCTCAACCGGATACGCACGAAAAGAAGAAATCGGAACAAGCATACAATGGTCAAACGTTTGATTGTCTGAACTGTAAAAAGGTGTTTAGTACACCACACGGTTTGGAAGTGCACGTACGACGCTCGCACTCTGGAAGGCGCCCGTTTGCTTGCGACATCTGTGGTAAAACATTCGGCCACATAGTGAGCCTGGAACAACATAAGAACATTCACACCAACGAGAGAACGTTTGAATGCAAAGAGTGCAACAAAACGTTCAAACGCTCGTCCACGCTTTCAACACACATGCTTATTCATTCGGATACAAGGCCCTTCCCATGTGACTACTGCGGAAAGAGATTTCATCAAAAATCGGACATGAAAAAGCACACGTATATTCACACAGGAGAAAAACCTCACAAGTGTCTGCAATGTGGCAAGGCTTTTAGCCAATCGTCAAACCTCATCACACACAGCCGGAAACACTCTGGTTTCAAACCGTTTTCTTGTCAAGTGTGCGATCGTGCATTCTATCGAAAAGTTGATCTTCGACGGCACGCGTACACGCATGAAATGGAACAGTTGTCGATTAAGGATGCTTAGAAAATAAAACAAACTAAACACTTTTTTTACGAGTTTTTAGCAACTGCGAATTTTTCTGCTTGTAAATTTCGTATATCCGGAATTAAAATATCTCATTCAAGTATAAATAAATTTTAAATGTAATATGTAAAGACTTTTTGCCAAAGACGAGAAACAGCTCATAGCATTTTTCCACCATCATTGTAAATACATGAAAATCGTTTTCAATTGAATGCAAAAAAATAAACTGTTGTGCAGAGAAGCCATGGCTTTTCAGAACACTTCCTTGTATCGTTTGTTTAACAACTGGAATAAAGAATTTTGTATTCTCAAGTTTTCGTAGGGAAATTATCATGTCGTAAACTGGCACTTGAATGAAATGCAGGGCAGATTGGCTACACGTTATATCAAAGTAGTTCGCACTATTTTCTTTCAGAGGTTTGGTGCTTTATAAACAAACTGGAATGGATATCGGTTGGATTTAGCAATGAAATCACCCTTTGAAGCCACAACCAAATTTACTGTATTGTCTGTAAGCGCGAACGTTCCAGTGATCGTTTAATATCTCCCAAACAAAATTTAAAAAATATTAAATATGGAGGCAATTCAATGACAATTTAGACAACTTGCAGTTCTTTCGCCGATCTTCTGCGTACTGACGGTCGAATTGTCTTTCGGTCGGCTGTGACCAAGTGAACTCATAATTGACATTTATAATCATTTATAAGGTTTTCCTTTCCTTTTTGTAGGGATAAGAAGAAAATTTTTAGAAAACTCGAATGATGACGAATGTGATAATTTTCCCGGCTTTGAAATAAGAACAGAAAATTTTAATACTTTTATTCGCGAACGTTAGGTAAAACGTTTTCTTGTAATTGATAGAGAACACGCGTCAAGCCTTTTTTTAACCGTGGCTGTCCAGAATTGAAAGGTACTTCTACATTTCCTCCTTTTCCTCAGCAGTAAATGATCAGGAGAAATTTCCATTATAAGCGCCATTAAGAATTTCTTGTAGTTCTGTCCTTGGGGAATGAAGAGATTACCGTCTGAAAACAAGTCGTCCTATTAGCAAAGTCTTCTTCAGCTCACATTCACTCTCTAAGAGCCAGGCTGTTTATTCTTATGGACTTAAAAAATTCTTCGAGCTTAAAACAACGTTCTTGAAAGGTGTCCTCCATGAATTCCTCAGAAGGCGACGAAAAGTAGCTAGAAAGTGATATGTTTATTATCAACAAGCCAGAAAAACTGATTTTGTTGACTCAACAAAAAGACTTACCTTATGAAGTGGGACAGTTAATCGAGGAGAGAATTAGAACCGCTTTTTATTTTTCCTTGAGTGGCATTAAACTCAGGGAGTGTTCAGGAAAGCTGGATCACTTTAAAAATAACCTTGGCCTGGGAGAGACGATTTTATTTGAAAAATGATTTTCATCTTCCTATTTTTTCATGCGGCCGGTCTGCTTTATTACTCGTATTTAATTTTGGTTATTTACTTTAAGCACAGTAGATTAGATGAAACTTCATACAAAACTGACCAGAATCCACAATTACTTTTAATGTACATTTAGCGAGAGAAATCCGTTGTAAATACTAATTCGCTTGGTGCTGGAAAATAGTTCAAATATATATCATAGGCAAGTATTTGAATGTTGCACATATTGCGTATATATAGACAACTCGATTCTCTGAAAGGAAAATTCGGCCAACACTTGATGGATGAATATTGCAAAACTATATATTAAAATTCATTTTGTCCGTGTGTTTTCTCGTTTTAGTTGTGAACCGTTATTAGGCGAATTCAGTCACTGATGCTTGTTCCGGAACATATACACTGTCCTTTAGTCGGTTTCACTTACAATCGATAACCAAGTAAGTACTTTTTGCCAGGCGTTTTTGTTGGAAAATATACGTCCGAAATATAAAAAGCTCTAATGTCTTTGTACAATTAACTCCGGACGCATGATTTCATACTGAAAAGACAAAAAGTGTGACTGGAAGAAACTCGCCGGTTTTCCTCCGGTTTAACAGAGCACAACAAATCTAAAATGGTCTTTTACGTTGGTGTTTCTATTTTGTTTTGCATTTGGACAATAATTAACCCACCTCTCCCTTAAACAAATAACAAAAACTTTGAAAAAACCTTACGCAGAAAGCCGCCAAACAAAAATTGAAAGTAAGTGGTTTCCGCATCACTTCAGATATCGATAACATCAAACAACGCTTCAGTCCTACCATTTTGTGTGATTTCGGATGTAGGTTTATTGTGCGAAATTATCATGAACAATATAACTTCCTTCACAATGGCTACCCTTGCGATGAATACAGAGAAAAACACATTACTGATTTGCAATTTATTGGGTTGTCAATGCGATTAATGAGAACTCTTGAAGAAAGAGCACTTTTCATTTCCAAGAATCGGATGTATGGTAATTTTCTATTGAAATGAAATACCGGAAAAAGGGTTTTTCTCACCACTGATTTAAAGGTTTACTATTTGACGTACGGGAATAAAAGAAGCTTCAATTAATACGTAAAACAAAACTGCGATTGAAAATTTAATCAAAGTTCCTTCAATAGAAAAGTGCCGTGCTTTGAAAACTCTGCTGCTGCATAAAAACGTAGTCAGCAATCAAAGAAATCGATATAGTATTGACGCTGTAAAGCAAGCACGTAGTCGTTTATTTAGCGGAACGACGTCAAAACCGGGGTCTGTGAATTTCAGATAAATTTTCGTAGATTTTGGTATTTTCCGGACGCAGCAGCATTGCTCGTTATAAAGCTCCCATAATCAACAACACGCTGCTTTCCGCTAAATTATCCACTACGCTTTTTATCATCTTTATGACGGAATATAGACGCTGTGCTTGTGTTTGAAGAAATCGTTTATGATTCCCTAACAAAGAGTTGTCTTTCCTCACATGAAAGTTTAGTTTTGCGTTTTAAATATGTATATGATATAAATTTAAACTGGCTCATGATATTTTTAACGAACTGGACTGTATCTGAGATCCTTTTGGTTTTGACATCTTGCGTTGGTTAAGGAAGCAATTCAAACCAATCCATGTATAGACTATGAAAAGTCATGACGTTATGTCGAAAGCTTTTTACAAAAGTGTGGGCAATCAAAGTTTGGTAATCTAGAAATGATTCGTCTGACTGATCGTGAGCTTATAACGCACAGTTCATAATCAAAGTCAACATCATGTGCATACAATTTGATCGATTCAGATGCTTTAGGGACAGAACGCACGATTAAGACATTGAACTTGTTAAACTCAAAATTAGAATCGCTTAATATTTTCATCCGTTTTGTCTTTTGCCTCAAATGAAAACGTTTATAAAATCATTAACGAATGTGACTCGTTTTTGACCCACGTCGGCTATGCCCATCGCCAGCCAGGATCAGCTCATCTAGAAAAACAGCTATGTTGCATTTTGAAAAAATAGCGCCATATAAAACACGGCACTTTTTTCATACTTTCCTTTTTAACGAATGTTACCTTGACTTTTCAAACTGCCAAGCAGCTCACTGGATTTTTAACCGCTATTTATTATGTCACATGAACTTTATAAATTAAGTCTTCTGGATCATTTTCACTGAAACGTTTTTTCTCGGCTTTTTTATTTTGTTTTATGGGCCAAATGATTTAGGAAACTGGAAACTAAACAGTTTCTGTGTTCTATCCCTTTTAGGACGGGTGGGGTCGTCTTTTTTTGCCATCTATGGAACGATGCAGATTATTTATTGCTGAACCCATTTAGCTTCAAGTTTATGTGATGAAGTTGTCAAGCAGGGAGTTCGGGAAGGATAAATCTTTGCGAAGCGAACACAAAGGAATTCTGACCAATCCTGCTAGAGTTACACACAAAACCCTACTCTTGATTACTAACCTTTCGGGGGCGGGGGGGAGGCGGTGAAATACCGGTGATTTCTCTATTTACCTACTGTAGTCCCCCCTTTCTTGGAAAGTTAGCCAGCCACTATTCCACAGGAAAGAAAGAGGATAAAGTGGGCCACAAAACTAGATATAATTACTAAAGAAGGTCTCAATGGGTTTAACCCGTCAGCCGTCAATAGGTCTAAAATTTAACCGTCTGCCGTCGAAAAAGAATAATATTAACCAACGAAAAGTTGTATTTCAGCTGATCTTTATGGACTTCTAGCTCCTGAAGAATCTGTAAACTGGCTGGAAAAACCAGCCCCCATAATCTCAGAAACACACTCTAGACATTACATGACCTTTCAACTTGCTTATATCTAAACATATTTCGAGATTCTGAGTGAAAGGCCAAGACAACCTGCAAAACGCAACAGTTTAAATTAATTTATGCTGAAGTTCAGTGATATTTAGACACTATTTACATAAACTCTTTGACTAAATTTCCACTAAATAACGTCAACCATCAAAATCTTTAAAATTTAGAACCGTTAACCGTCAAAACTACTATCCCATTAAAACCCTCACTATAGGCAAAACGAAGAAAGAAGGCTAAAAATAAAGATCGAAATTTATTGGCAAAAAAATCCTCTTATACGCTGCACCAGTCTCGCTTGCTTGGAGATTAGATCGAGAAATGAAGAGGCGATTAATTCTATACGAGACAGGATTTACTCGCTAAAGGTTTATCGACGTCGATAGTTTTTACTTGTTTCTGAATTGATTTAGTTCGCGCGTTACCGACGACCGGAAATACGTCTGCGGTCGCAGGCCATACGCGTGTATATTAAAATACACGAAAATTCAAGGGCCTCGATTCTAGAGAAATTGCATCATTGTCAGAGATCAAAAAAGTGATTTACTGGCACCTCATTTCAATCATCGCCGAAAATAAACCGCATGCTCATCACGAGACCATTTGCATACAATGAAAGTTTAAAACACCTGACCATCTTAGTTTTGCTAATTAAGATTCTCTTTTTTTTTCGACTCCTAAGTAGTGCTCACTTGTTCCAAAGAAATCAACCCTTTCAAGCGATAGAATTCGTGGATCGACATGTCTCGGAAAAGCTCTAAATTTAAACTTTCCTAAACATGGGTGGCTTCAATCACGCAACGATTCTTAGTCCCAGTTTCCACGGTCTCCGCTAGGAACGCCTGGCACAATGACCTCCTATTTGTGTCCAAAATAC